TAACCTAAACCTACTCTCTTTCAGTTTCAAAGTATTCCCCCTTGTTATGTTATTACATGCTCCCGTAAAAAGTGCCTGTCCATCTTTCTTGTACGCTCCCTTCATGTACTGAAAGGCCACAATTAGGTCACCCTGAAGAATTCTCTTTGCCAGACTTAAATACAATTCTCTCAGCCTTTCATCATAGGAGAAATGCTTCATCCCTCTAATCATCTTTGCGTGCCTTCTCTGGACTTGTTCTAGCAGGTCGATATCCTTCCTGTGCTGAGGACCCCAGAGCTGAATACAGCACTCCAGGTGGGATCTCATCAGAGTAGAGTAGAGGGGCAGAATCATCTCCCTCAAACTGCTGGTCATGCTGCTTTTGATGCAGCCCAGGTATCACCCAATATTACCCATTCTGTGACTAGAAGCTTTATATGAATGTCACTATGTCAGTAAATAATGTCAATGCACTATGTTAGTAAATAAATGTCAATGCATTAAAGTTTCATCCGCTGCAGGCAGGAATCAGTGGGATTAGAAAAGGTATAGTTTATTAAGTCAATACACTGTGTTTAATGTCTTTTAGACATTAAAATGTCTAAATGTCTCAAACATCTTTTAGATCACATTAAGAACCCGGAACATCCTGTACAGTTTTGTCTTTGGTGGCAAATTTAGTACCCAAAGCTTAAGGCATCCATGCATGTGGAGGATTCTTTAAAATATACATAGTATAAAAAGCATATTGTGTTAAGCCTAACAGCATGTACAAACAGCTCTAGGAGCCTTTTTTCAAAATAATTCAATGACAAAACTGTTCTTTTCTATGAGTACATTATCTCATTTTCACTTATTCTAATGCCTTCCTGGCACTCTCACTGTGTCTGAAAAAACTGAGAAAGGTCAGTCACATCCTACACAGAGTTTGATCTTGAACATCGGCAAAATAAAACCAAAATGCCTGTTCTACAGATACAGCCCCAAATTATAGGGAATAATTTCAATTTTTAGTTATCCGAGTGCTCAAAATCTGTGCCCCTCATTGGTACATGCCTCACTTGTTTAGTAACATATAGCACGATGCTTGTCCTAAGAGTTCAATTAGCATCAAGCACGTCCAACTACTTCAGCAATCCCATGTATCTTAAAACAACTGGAATTTTCCCATGAAATAGATCAATTAACCTCTGTATCTTAAAAGTATGCATTAACATCTCTGAATTCATATACTCACATCAGTACTGCAAATAAGACTGGTAATTGATCTAAGTATTTCTCCTGTGTTTCTCACAAAAATAAAGCCTAACTATGCTGCTTTGCACATTAAGACTTCTACTGCTTCCCCTTACCTGCAGAGGCTCTCGAGCAGAAGGCTTATCCAAGGCTGGCACTATATCCACATAGCCCCCTGCAATAGCAACTTCTCCAGTCTCCTTGACCTGTAGGGGAGGGTAAAAATACATGAAAGAGATGACACATTTGCAAAAAGTCACAACAGAAGAGCATCCAAGGAGTCTTCCCTATAATTTTTAAATCAGAGATGAAGAAAAGAGAAAACATGAAAGTTACACAATGAAAAAAACCCCACCCCATAAGTGTGCTATAGTCTTGAGGCAAGCCGTTATACTATGCTTTACAAAGAGCTCTTCAAACAAAACAATTACTTACCTCTTGAGAAATTTTACCAAAACATATTGCTGGCTTTATGTCCACAAAATAATAGAAAATCCTTATTTATCTGAAAGTTTACCTCCAGTATTATAAGTTACTGTCAATGTTTTTTCATAGTTCTGAGGAAGACATTGTTCTAAAATGTTTTTCCTTGAGGCAGATACTCAGTTGTCAAGAGTTGATCTAGACAGTTTCGCTATCTCCACATGCCTTCTACTGCAACTTGCAATAGAAACGAGTTTTTAAGCATTGTAAACTAAGAAAGATTACAAGAACAAGGAAAAATACCTGAACTCCCTTCCAATTTAATTTGTTGAAATAGGTAAGTCAAAGAAGAAAATGGGTTTCATTCTGGCATTGTCTCTTTGAGGAGTCTGACAAACCATTCTGACTTAAGGCAGTTAACAGAAGATGGCAAACAGATTCACTAACAATGCATATAGAGTTATACAATAAATAGCCAACCTGGAGGACTATCCAGTATCACAACCCAGCTTATGGTGCTGTATATAACAATTACTCAAATCATGCCTAACAGTTTGTCATCCACTGCCATGGCACCTCAGACAATACTGAAAATGGATTCAAACCAGCATATCAAAATTGTATGTCCACTTTTAGTTTGATTCAAGCACATTTTATGTCCAGCACAAAGATGGCTTTAATTCAGACAAATCCAACATGCAATAAGAAATAGAAGTCTCCACAACTTATAACTATTCAAATAATATTTTCTATAATCCTGTTAAACCTTGTAATTTCTCTCCAAAACTTTTACTGAACCACACACAATTACATCATTCAGCCTTTAGACACAACAAAACAACTCACCCTGTTTACAAATTCCAAAGGACTTGGAAGTGTATCATGAACTCTATTAATTCACACTGTACATGCAAACTCTCACAAGTAAATACTTGAATTCTAGAAATTCTGTTACTATGTCCAACAGCTACGAAATTTCCATTTTTAGGTCAGTTGCTCCATGTAGCTGCAGCTTAAGTTTAACTCAATTTAGGCTAAATTTGTGGCAAGTATATTTGCATAAGCTGTAGGAGTTGATTTAAGATAAATCAATGTTTTAAAAAACAGGTGCATACACAATGTTATGAGCAACTGCAGAAAACTAGTACAAACTATGATGACCTGAGGATGCTTGCTTTTTGCTCTACACAGTGGACCAACAGAAAATGAAACACAATGAAATGAGTTCTCATTTAATAAGAGGGTATGAAGTCCTATAAGTACAATGGCACTTTAATTGCAATCCTAGTGACACCATAAAATAAGTAAGAATATTTCATTCCATTTACTTAATTACTTTATAAAACTTCCGTCAATAGTGTGCTTGATGACTCACTTTTTTTTTGCTTCCCCTCATATCCCCAGTCTTTTAACCAACACATCTTTCTCTAAAGCCCACAATGATGAGATTATTCTGACCTTGGTCTGAAAATGGATTCTATTTCCTTCCTTCCACATTTCTGTTTGTAAAGTTTGCCCTGGGAAGACTGGTTTTGCAAAGCGAACCTAGAAGCAAAACAAGACAAAAAAAGTGGGATTGTGAACGGATCCGTCATACATATATGCAAAGCTTAAAAGAACAGGCTCTACTGAAATCATAGAAAGCAAAGAGAAAAATTAGTCAACTATCAAAGTAGAAAGCCTAAATATTTAAGTAAACATTCAAGACAGAGACATTGAAATGCATGCAGCAGTAAGTAAAAGCAATTCTGGCAGTTAAGACAGTACCAAAGCCTCTTCCCCACATTAAAGATTTCTTTCAACACTAAAACCAGAAAAATCAAGAAAATTAACTGCAAAGAATGAACACACAGACCTTGATTGCCTTGAATCTGTTCACATCATTATTTGCAAACTGCTTCAGAACATTCCTAGCAGCAAACCCAAAGGTGCATAGTCCATGAAGTATAGGCTTCTTAAACCCTATTTAAAGAAGCAACATTTTAGTATTTCTAATATTAGGACTTTGAATCTTGCTTCTATGAATACCTACACTTTGTTAATAGCTTTTTCACCCAATAATGTTCTTAAGCCTATTTATTTTTACTCTAATTTATCTCACTGAAAAAGTGTCTGTAACCATTTATTGTTTCCTCTACTTTAAGACAAAGGCAAGCAGTTGCTGAGAACTGGCATTCCAACACTGTCTATGCTCTGTAAGACTCACAGGTAGAATTAGTCCCTGTCTGTAGAAGTGAAAAAATGAAAAATAAGGAGATTAACTGTTTTAGTACATGAGCATAGGCACACCAGACACACACTTACATGGTAGCATGCGTACCAAGGGTAAGAGATATTATAATGATTAAAGAGTGGTGATACTAAGACTATATCATGCTTTCCATTTTGAATTCCTATTCATGGTTATCAACAGTCTTCTAACGTAGTGCACACTTCAAGATTAACTTTTTTTATTTAGAAGTGGAAAAAAACCCTGAAAATATTTCAGAAACTTTGAGCACATCTACAAAAAGAACGCAGAAAATACAATTAGCATTTTTCTTATATCGTATAACATTTTTTGCGAAGTTTCCTTGCACTTCTATGCATTCCAGCCAGAGATGGACCTTGGCAGAGGTTTGTATTTTTTGTATTACCTTAGCATTGAATCTTTCTCGAGTATTGTCAAAGTCTGACAAACCAAACCTTTGAAAACCAGGCCGCGATTTGCTGAAGTGCAACAGTTAAGTTTTAAGGATGCTACTTGTATGTCCTCATCCCCTAACAGGTTGCTATGACCTGACAAGGCTGTAAACAGTAATTGTTCAGACTTGCAACCGCTCATGGAATCCAGACAGATCTGTCTACCTTCAGCTCTGAAACCAGTTGCTTTGCCCAGAACTCATTTGCTGCTCTTTTCTGCCAGTCTCTTTATGCTGAGCTTTAAACAACTCCTCATAACACCTACACAGCATGAAATATTGTCCCGAGGGACAATGACTGGGAGAAAAAGCAAAAGCAGAAAGACTCTAAAAAGTCTAGCCTGCAGAGAAACAGAAGATTTAAGAAACCATTTTCAAGACAGAGAGAAAAAAGGCACTATGACTCTGTCCCAGCTTTGGCTGGGATATAATTAATTTTCTTCCCTAGTACCTGGCACAGTGCTGTGCTTTGAATTTAGTCTGATGTTTTGGCTGTTGCTAAGTAGTGCCTAACCTAAGCTAAAGACATTTCAGTGTCCCATGCTTTGCCACTGAGTAGGTGCACAAGAAGCCATGAGGAAACATAACGAGGACAGCAGACTCAAACTGGCCAAAAGGGTATTTCATACCACAGAATGTCATGCCCAGTATGTACACTGCGGGAAGCTGGCCAGGAGCTGCTGATCACAGCTCAGGGATAGGCTGGGCATCAGTCAGCAGGTGGTGAACAATTATCTTGTGCATCATTTGTTTCTCTTGGGTTTTTCTTCTCTTCCCTCTCCTTTTCATTATTATTATCACTAGTAGTAGCTTCATTAGTATTATAATATTTCGCTTTGTTTCAGTAATTAGAGCATTCTGATCTCAGTCCATAAGTTTTACCATATTTTCCCTCCAACTCTCCTTCCCATCCTACTGAGGCTGGGGGTGAGGGGGAAAAGGAGAGGAGAAGAGGGGAAGGGGAAGGAATGAGCAAGTGGCTGTGTGGTAATTAGCTGCTGGCTGAGGTTAAATCATGATAGATTCAAAGCTGGAGAAGATGGGAATTATGAGACAGTCCAAAGGGAAGACAATGCTAGCAGGATTAAACATGACAAACAGAAATTTTGACTCATTAGGTTAGAAGAGAAGACATGATAGAAGGACAGGCTAGAAGGAACATGACTGTGTTTTCTCACTGTAAGTACTGCACTCTGATCATTCTGCCATTTCTTTCCTGTAAAATATCTGAGTATGGACACTTTGAATAGCAGTCTCTTTTGTGTGCAATGTGCACTGTTCTGAAAGCACAAAGATACCATGCAGTGAATTTTAAAACAGACTAGTGACACAATTGTAACATCATCAGTACTTGATATTTCTCATTCAGAATGTTATAGTGACATTAAGCTCTTCAACAACTTAGTTCAATTTGCCATGCAAGAACCTGAAACCATCACTCTTCAGAACTCAGAAACAAATAAACATGATCCTATTTTTCCCAGTATTTTCTTAATGGAAGTAATGCATACTCAAACAAAAATTCCATAATGCAGTAAATTACTTTGTATCTAGACTAGAACAAAACCAAAGTAAATGCTGCTTTTGCTCTCTGGCACCTGGAAATACTCACAAGATACAGAAATAAAAGCACAGGAATATAAACAGGCTTTTTCATGTAAGGATATCTCCTCTGAAATATTACCCACCAGAAGGCTTAACAATCATGCTGGAACAACTGAACACATGCTGAATGCTTCCTTCCAGCACACACTGGTGAGTGCCAGTTAAAAAGAACATACACAAAGGTTGTTACCAGACAAGAAGGTGTGTGCACATGCCCAAAGAAAAAAGCTTTTGCATAACTAGAAACAAACGTATTTGTGGAATACCCCTGCAGTAATATTCCTCTTTGCTTGTACTTACATTTTGTATAGGTATTTCAATGGTAGTGCCACAGTTCGAAAATCCAGTGCCGCAGTTCTATGTTCAGACAGATGCTACCTCATCTAGAGTGTATTTCATTTTCACTGTCTCTAAGTGCCAGTGCTCTTTGTGCGAGCAGGTAGAAGATTTTTACTCCACTTCTTTTGTAAGGTTATTAAAGGATTACCATTGTTATTTTAAACACTGGGTTTTCAATTACAGACATGTATTTTTCACTTCCAGCATCTTCAAGAGTAAATATTTATCCAAAATCATCACATGAACAAACAATGGAATGGTTTAACAGGCCAGAGAAATCTCTTTACGGTCTCTAGTATTCGACTATCATTACTTATTAACCCAAATTACATAGAATTAAATAAAACTGAGCTAACCAAACAATTAGTATGCACTTATGAAAAGAGATAATTTGTGAAAGTATGTTAAGTGTGATCTGAACAAGGAAGCATTGCTCTGCTCTATTTATCTTGGTAAGAACACCATACAATGATATATGTATATTAAAAAGAAATTCACCAGAAAACTGCTGACCAATTATTATAGATCAGTATTTTCACGTAACATTTATGATGATTGCATATATAGTCAGGAAAATTTCTTAGGTAAATCAAATTGCTGTATGCCTGGAGTAATCATACTATATTACTAGCAAGGCCTGAAAAGAACGCTGAAAAATAACTACAACAGGATATTAAGAAAACAGATCCTTTTTCAGCAATTGCATCTCTTCAAGAATCAGTTTGTGCAGCCTCTCATTTAAAGCTCTGGCATGCAGAACTACATCAATGAACAAGCTAACACACAGGTGTTAGCAAGAGGTGCAGTTAAGCAATTTTGCAGGAAAGATGTGCTAACAAACTCCATCTCTCCTGCTCTCCTAGGATTATTGAGACTGAAGAGACCACATAGAAGAACAAAAAATTTCACTGAGACCAACATAATCTCAAAATTTAGATGGAAAGAACTACACATTGAAGAATGTACTAATTCCTTCTGAAGCTCCAATAGTCAATAATTTCTGGTTATGAAACAGAGACTGTAACAACAGAATAGTGGCAACAAACAATCTCTAAAGGAACATGGGGTGGGAGGCATGTTTGCTTTGTAGGAAGAGTCCAAGCACCATTCTGCATTTCTAGCTACAAGGCGCAATGCTTCAGAGTGAGCTGTCATGTAGAACTTTGAAGACATCTAATGGTGACTCTAAGAACAGCTATAAAAAAAGCACTGCTCTCTCCAGGTAGTTAAAGATGTAAAGACAAAGTGGAAAAAATATTAAAACTACATTTACATTGTCCTTCATCCAAATATTACTACAATGGTATCCCTCAGCTCACCTCCAAGAGCAGCAAAACTTGGATCAAGATGTAAAGGATTCCAATCTCCACTCAGACGATATAAGGCAGCCTTCAGAAACAGAGAAAGAAAAATGTAGAGAAAAATGGCAGGCAGAAAAAAGCAGGAGTCACTCCAAAATTCATGTCAGATTAATAAACTTATCACAATCTACTTTACTAATCCTTAGATAAAATACTCTACAGCAAAGCATGTAAAATAGAAATTAATTACTGTTGTGCAAACTGCCAAAGCTCCAGGAAAGTGCACCAAGAACCATGTGTGGTCTTGGTACGTAAAAAAATAAAACGAGTGCTTCATGGGAGGAAAACCCAACATACTTCACTGGCATACAGATCCAGCTTCACTAAAATTTGGCAACAGTGAAGTAACGCGCTTTCTAGAATTTATCCACAGGTTCATCAGCTTGAAGTCTAGTTTTAAAGAGTCTTTTTCTTGACAGATTCATCGACAACATAAAAAAACCTTATATGTGAAAACTTCATTTTTTAAAACACACACACTACAATATTTCTCCAACAATTCATTCATCTTGCAGAGATCAGAAATATCCTTATTACTCCCTTTTAAAAGTAACATGACTGACTAATTGTGATACACTTCTCTCATAGCAGATTCATGGGCAGCTGATCCCAGTATTGAAAATAAACCCACAAAGTAACACTTTAAGCTTTCTAGAAGACTTTGGCTTCATGTTAAATATTCACTTTCATTAGTAAAAACAGGGAAATAGAGATTTAGTGTGTTTTATATACTGTGAATGTCAATAAACCTGAGAAATAATGAAATATATGGCTACTTCAGGTCTCTGTCCTTATGTAGCCTTAGCACTTCCATTATCAAATCTTATATTTGCTGTATGCCAGCAGTCCATAACACAAGAGGCAGGACAAGCCAACCAGTGTACTTTTCTGGAGTGGTCTTATTCGTGGTCAACAAATTCCAGTGAAATCCAGTTACTCAATTACTGTGGAATACTCTCTAGTACAAATTTCCCCAAACTACAGAGAAAATCAGTACATCACACTAACTAATGCTAATGAAGACTTCAAGAATTTAAGAGTCAATATGATGACATACACAAATTGAATGTGGATTTAATTGGAAAAAAGCTTTTAAGCTGAAAATAAACTGTATTTTAATCAAGAACATTATTGGCCTTTGGAACTTCTTATCACCAAACATTTTTTCCCAGCATTTTGAACTGGGACTATAAGAAGCTTGCAGATTTCTCTAATGGAAGAAAATAAAAAGATTCCCCAAAGGAATTATTTTCTCTTATATATCTAAAACTGTTTCTTCTATCAAATCTGAAGAGGTTCTGAACTCATATTATCATTTTAATCCACAATCAATTTGTTTTATTTTTTTAACCTCTTAATGTTCAGGTCCATTTCTTCAAGTATCTACAGCTTTAACACTAAGCTCTGCCTCTCTCACACATGTCCTGGTAACCTTCATCAATACAGTAAGAGATTTGAGCCTCAGTTACTGTGGAACGTAGAAGAGTTTGACACTACGTCTGTGTATGAGAATTGGAGACACACAGCAAGAAGAAATTCTAAACAGCACCACAGCTCAAGCATGAAAATCTTAGAAAGGCAAATACTCAGCTAATACTACTTCATGGCTGTTTATACAGTTGTTTGCTGTTTTTGAAACACTTTTCCATCTGAAAACAAAGATGTGTCAGTATGATGACATCAGTGGATCTGAAATTTCTAACTGTAATTCTACTTTTGGCCCAAACATATATTTACTATAACATTTTTTAAATTATCTTCTAACCGATCCTATAAACATGAAAACAGCAATTTCATACTAACGTAAAACTGACATTCCAGAAAGGACAAAAGAGATGGCAACTAATTTGGTGAATATATCAAGTTATAACACTATAAAAGATTTTTAATGAGAGACAGGCCTTTAGTCTCTTTTTAAAAAAATAAATTTCAAACTGACAATTTAAAGGGAGTTCCTCAACAGATTTCTACAAAGTAGAAATCACCTTTCATTACTGAAGTTTACTTTCAGAAGAGTCTTGAATCTAACAGCAAATTGCCACTTGAGAACTAGAAAAAACACCTTCCAGATATTAAATTAAATAATTAAATGGCTTTAAAACCACATTAAAATTCGACAGTCTCATTATCTTTGCTCAGTTCACTGGAATTTTTTATCAGAGATGTCAGGCAGCTATTTTCACAAAGGAGCTGTTGTAAAGAAATTTATTTCAAACTAAATAACATTTAGTTGCAGTTCTGGAAAATTCATGTATGATTAAAAAAAAGACATTTCTGTTTTAAGCCCAATCTTAAAGATCTAGATATGCAGCTGTTGCTTACTAAAGCTGTAATAAGAACTAGCCATTTATATAGGGTGATAATAAGCACTACAGGGGAAGCAATACTTCCACCAAATGCTTGTCAAAATTACTGCAGTAAAAAATACTTGTGCTTTGCTGACAAAATAAATGTAGCATTTAGGAAATAATTAGGTTCAGAGAATTAAAATGTGAACAATGTAGTTAACAAAATGTCTGACATGCAAATGTGGGAAATTATACTTGTCTTTTTGGATTTTCAATAACTATAGTGGCACTAGTCACAGCTACAAAACACGTAGGCTGAACTGAATAAAACAGTTGCAGAGCAGTTATTTCAGATTCAGTGAAGCCAAATCAGGCCTGCCAACATACTTCACTTACCACAATCTTTGGTATTACTTCATTATATAAATTACCGTTCACATGAGAACAGAATTGTTTTAAAGCCTTTTTGGTTCTACACTCTATGTTCCTTGAATAGTGACATTTCCTGAAGACGTGAGTAACAGCATAAAAAGCAAAGCAAAACAAAAGAAAAAAAACCCACCAAAAAAAACCCAACAAACAAAAAATGAAGAAAAAATGATGCATTCTTGGAGGATGACAAGAATCAACTGATGTGGAGCATTAGATTGAAGTCAGTCATAACATGATTAGATTGTTGTCCAATTAATAACACAAACTGTCAAGTCTTATTTCCTAAGAATTTAGGAGTTCTGCCAGACCACAAAAGACAAAGCTATATTCAACCTGTCGGTGTCAATTTTTCGGTCTTCCTGCAGACTGCAATAGACATCAGCGGTAAAGCTCACAAAAAAGGAAGCCAACTATCCATGCACTTTTCTCTTCTAACTGGGTAGAAAAAGAGCTCAGACCAAGAGCTTGTCTTACCAAATGTATGTGTGTATATATGTATACAGGTATGTATACAAGTGGACATGTATGTACGCATACTTTATGTAACTATTTAAGAGCAAGTAGTCAAGCATTCTCATGAAGAAAAACCAGCCATGATCTCATTTCTGCATGTCAATGAGCTCTCATTTACATTAACAACAGTGGGTATTTCCAGTTAAACTGGTAACCTAGATGCTTCAAGGGCTCAATTTTAGTACAGTACTTAGGTAATTCACTGTACATAAAACTTCCCCACTACACATTATTTATGTATTTACTGTTTGTCCGTACTAAATATTTTTCAAATTTAGTATCAACTTACATATTCTGACACAGGCCTCACAGAACTTTAGCCATTTTTCAGTAGCATGGCAAATGTACAAGAAATCTTTCCCTTAACAATGCCTCTCCTAATTAAAAAGAACAAATCACTTTAGTTTGGGGAACTTCAAATGAAGTAACAATTTTCATAGCCTGTACTAAGACATGCATGGATAAGAGAAAGACAAACTTTGTTAATAACTTCATTTGATAAGGCAGACCATCTTGTTTAAACACACTCACTGCCAGACTAGTACCTTTGCTTGTTTTATCATCTTACCACACAAAATTCTAGCATAATCCAAGCCTCAACTATTTTTCAAAATTGCCATGATTAGAAAATTATATTCTGATCTTCCCAACAGGTATAAAAATGGAGGATTGGGGGTTATATAAATTTTGAAATTAGCATCACAACATGTGGCAAGCTTTTCAAGTAATTACTATTACAAATGCTCACTCACTAAGCAATGGTTCTGAGAGTATTATCTCTGCACACGGAAATCTCTAAGCAAACAAGGAAAAGGTTATCAAGTCCTAGCAAAGGCTTCACATCCCGTTGTTTGGTTTACATCATCCTTTGTTGTTTAGTGCTTTTGTTTCTGTCATGCTCTCCATATTTGTGAACCTACTACAGCATATCATTTTCTCGATCATGAAACAAATTATTCATGCCTCAAGTAGAAAAAACCCCCACCTGAAACTCTCAGGAGGGTCTCTTGTGCTATTGTCTGAAGTTCATTTAAATTTAGATGTTTTCAGTCAATGCTGTACTACAATCTTTACAGAACAGGACATAAAAAAAATGTCAGAATTTGTCCTTGTAACCATATTTTGATGGCAACTATGTCCTAGCTTCGCTGCCACACAACCGCTTCATTTCTCCTGCTTGTTGCCCATGCTACATGCATTGGCATAGATGCACTTCAGTTGGGCTATTAATCCCACAACCTTTTAGGGGTGAGAAATCCTAATTTCTACATTATGTTCTCAGGCACTTCCATAGTGTCTAACACATCAATAACCTTTGTGCCTTTGCTCATGTATGGACCTCCACCTCCTACAGCCATTGAGACAGCAGACTGAAGGATCTTCTTGCATACTGTCCCCGAAACACTGGTATGCTGACCCTGTGCTTAAATCCAGGGATCCTAGTTTTATCCTTTTCCCCCTTCAAATCTAGTTTAAAACCCTTTTCATGAGGCCTTCCAACTCCTATGCAAAGACTCTTTGCCCCTTTGAGGCAGATGTACCCAGTCTGTTGACAGCAGGCCTGCAGCTGTGTAAACTGACCCATGATCAAAAGACCATAAATCCTGCCAGTGACATCTGGCTTAGGGCCAAATATTTATCTAGTGGGTTTTCCTGTTTCTTCCCTCATCATTCCCTATGTTCTCTAAAAACACACACAAATATTTTTATATGCTTAGGATGAAAACACGTACAAAAACTACGTAGAATAAAGGATGATCTTCTACAGCTAAGTATGTACATCCCAACTACACAG